TTTTCCTGAGTTCTTCCAGGGAACTGTCTGTGTTCTCCTTGCTTCTGTTTCACATTTCCTTAGGTTCTTGTAACACGTATAAACATATCTTCTAAATTCTTTCTCAGATAATTCTATTGCCTCCTCTTCCTCCATGTTTAATGAGACCTTTGTTTGTGGTTTTGCTTCTAATACCTGTCCTGTTTTTTTGTTTGATTTGAGGTTGCCTGTTGTTTCCTAGACATTTTGAGGTTGTCTTTAACTGTTGGTTATGTATTGACTTGTTTTGTCTTGGTTTTATGATTTAATATTTTGAAAAGGTGAACCTGGTGTATTTTATTTTTTTAGTTATTAATTCAGGTTTGCTGGATAGCTTTGCGGTTTTCTTTGTGATGGTGTAATGCACTGTGCGGAATCTGGACATGGGTTTCTGTTTGTGGTAAAGAGGGTTTAGAGTTCAAACCAGGAGGTATTATGGTGGCTGAATGTGGTTTCTTCTATTGGATGAGTGAGGTTATTGGTGGAGAAGGTGAGAGCCAAAGAGAGGAAGAAGGAAAGCTCCCTGTTGCTAGGGGCGGTTTCTAGGGCTTTGAGCAGGCTGCTACTGATGATGATGCACTGTTATATGCAGGCCCGCAGCTCAAGTTCAGCAAGGACTCCAGTTGTTAGGGGGTTGCCACTTTCTGCCAGGCTTATACACTCGCAAAAAGGGGCTCCTGAGGCCCTTTGACACCAAAAAGACAACTGCCAGGCTCCGCGATCCGCCATGGGAGTTCCTATCTGGGCCTGCCTGCCCGCAGCACCAAAGATCTGCTTGGTTTCAGCGGTACTAGAGTTAGGCCCATGCCCGCTTGGACCCTGTGGTCCCAATATTACTGACAAAGTCAAGTGTGGGCCCTTCATGCCACTAAGCCAACCCAAGCCTGATCGGTGGTCTGCTGTAGGGGCACCTCCCGGGCCTGCCCTCTTGCAGCACCAATGGACTCTTTGCTTGGGTTTCAGCAGTGCTGGACGTGCCCATTTGCACCCAGCTGACCCAAGTTAAGGATAAAATAAGGTGCTGAAGGTAGATCCTTGGGGTGATCGCTGGTATGTTGGTGTGGTCGCTAGTATGCTGGTGTGGTGCATCTTCTTCCTTAACCCAGGGAGGTCTCAGATGGCCTTTCTCGTCTGCCAGGCGGCATTCCCCCACGGAGGTCTCCAATGGCCTTTCTCAGCTGCCTGTTGGCGCTCGGCGGGGTAGATCTCCTGATCTTGTTATTTTTTCCCCTGTCCCTTTCTCCTTTCTAATTCTACTCACCTGAATTTGGTGCACTCTGACTCAGTGAGCTGTTGAGCACCAGAATCCCTAATTGAAACTGCTCTGCCTAGTTTTTCAAGCACTAAGATGCTAGAGGGAATTAGCATGGTGATTACGGCCGAGACTCCATTTTGAACTCTGCATTTTTAATATTTTTTAACAGCCTTTTCAGACAATTTATTCTTCTTCCAAGGCAGTATCTGTACAGAAGTAGATTGCCCAATCTTCCTTCCAAGGAGTGGCTGGTGGGTTTGAACTGCCAGCCTTCTGGTTAGCAGTCAAATACCTTAGGCACTATGCTACCAGAGCTCCTTTTTCTTTTGTTTTGGTTTATGCTACAAAAAAACACAACCAGTGGTAGTTTATCAAAGGTTAGTTGCGATGTGGACTCTGGATCAGTGATTTTTTTGTACTGTTACATAAAAATCCATTAATCTACCTTTTACTTTGAATGGATCTTGTATTTCTGCATACTTTTGTAACATCATGTGTTAGGTATATAGAAATTTTTGATTGACTGCAGATCTTCCAAATGGTGGCATGATTTATTACAGAATATCATAAAATTGTATTCATTAAGCAAATAGTATCAGTTTCTTCCTTTGATGTGACATGTGAGAAAATGTCTATTGAATATTTAAGTTGGAATAGCCACAGTTTTTATGTCAGCCATTCTCTCAAGTAAAAGTGGTTATTTCGTGGAAAAAGCAACTCAGACCTCCAACACTTGTACAGGTGCTTTTCTTCAAGACCTCCGTCATGTAGCAGCAAAAGTGGTATATATGTAATTATCACTTCATGACACAGAATATTAGAAAATGTGTATTAATACAACTAGTAATTTTCACTGCTTCACCAAAAACTTTTGAGATGAAACTAGCATTGATTTTTATTCCATGTGCATGGAAATGAAGAAAGAATACGCTGACTACCACTACAGATTGGTACCACTACTTTGATTTGTGTTAAGATGCTGGCAGTTGTTTTTTTAATTTTTATTGTTATTTGGGTGAAAGTTTTTAGAGCAAATTAATTTTCTGTACAGCAGTTCATACACATTTTGTTTCATGATACTGACTATAATTCCCCACAATGTAACAGTTCTCTTCCCACTTCCTCCCTGTAGTTACCTCTTCCCTGTGTCCTTCTTTCCTATGTGTTCCTGCTTCCCAAAGCTATCTCCCTTACAAATATTGCCCTTCTATTTTCCCACAATTGATTGCTCTGAGGAGTGTATCTACCTGATGTAAATAAATGTTCACCCTACATGTCTGTCTTTTGTTTGGCTGGAAGCCATAGGAGTGAGTTCAGTTCCAGACCTGAAGGGTAACTAGGGGCCATAGTCTTGAGGGTCTTGCCAAGCTCTATCTGACCGGTAAACCTGGTCTTTCTTTTATATGATTTTGAGTTTTGTTACACATTGTTCTCCCACTCTATCCAGGATATCCCACACTAATCCCTTTCTGAGTGGTTGACAGTGGTAGCCAGGTACCATCTAGTTCTTCTGGTTTCATGGTTGTGGTAGTTAAAGTTGTATGTCAACTGGTTTGGGCCTGGCTGAGTGGCTGGGCAGCTGGTGGTAGTTATTCCCCATGATGAGACTGGTAATTTACCTCCATGTTGGGATCTACCACAAGCAGCTGAGTAGCTGCTTTAGGGATGTGGTCTGCTTCCTGTATATAAGAAACAGCTTTGGGAATGGTCTCTAGTTTATGGCACGCTTGAACCCTGTATGTAGCCGAGTCGTTGTTCAGCAGCCTGCCATGCTCTGATGACCTTGGGACTTTCAATAGACTTGAATGAATGGCCTGCTGTGTGGTTTGGTAACATTGGGACTGAGCCTTTTTACTTGTTAACCTTGGGTTTGTCAGTAACCAGTAGCTGTCTAAGTGAAGAAAAGCTCCTAGCTCCAGTGGGCTGGGAGCAGAAAGCAGAGCTGAAGCTCAAGGGTGAGAGGCTTTCACCCAGACCCTAGAGCCTGGCACTTTGAACTTGGACTTAAAGCCTGCACACTGTAAGAGAATAAACTGTTTGTTCAAGTATCCTATTTGTGGTATATTCTTGTCAGAGCAGTACTAGGTACTAGGTACTAGGTACCAGTTAACCAGAATGGTCATATATGTTGAGGATTGCATGGTCTACTAGTCCCTTGGACTGACACTGGCAGTTTTACTCTCCATTGCTTTTGCACCATCAGTGCCAATAACACAACAAAAAAGTGAAAAATTATTTACCATCTGTGAACTGCCTAAAGTTGTATTGAATGCCACCAGGGTATTGAGAAATACCATTCTGCCAAGAACCATCTATATCCGGTGCATTCCTTTATACCTCTCGTTCATTCCTGGCTGCCTCTGTGAATGTACTGAAGTCACACATGACTTTTTCTGTTTTCATCTTCCCTGATCTTTCTTCATTAAATTATGCTGTTAATTCTTGACCTCTGTTGCATATTCTTTAATGGTTTTCTTACTAATACTATCATTTTGCTTTCTTTATTCATTAACTTCTCTTATTCTCTGACCTCTATAATGTGAAAAAGTTTTTCAGGGTGCCCACTTGACCTTTCATCTCACTTCACCCAGTCTCCCTATGTAATCTCCTTTTAACTGTAACTTTTATGTGTTGATAACTCCCAAATCTTGATGTTTCTTCATTCCTGTTACTCTTGAGTGATACATCTGTAACCCCTGCCCTGGACAATTCTCATCTGTACCTTTTAAGGCTGCCTGAAAGTCAGCAGCTCTAAAACGGAACTCAATATTATCTCAACCAAACCTGTTTTGTATCCTCCTAAGCTTTAAACTTTAGAATTTATATTTCTGTCAATTTCTCAGGTGATACTGATGATGGGGACGACAGTTTGAGAGTTATTCATCTGTATTGTCCATGAGAATTATTTTTGTAAATCACAGATTTTAACAAATTAATTCCCAAACTTAAATTCTTCAGCACTTTTCCAGTGCTTGCATAAAGCTCTGTCTCATTAGGATGATATTTAAAGGCACTTTGAAAATTCGTCCTAATCTTATTTTTTAGCTACATCATCCCCCATTATTCTATTTCACCCCACTCTCTCCCTCATTTTCATTTGTCCTAAACTTTAGCCAAATTAGTTTTATTGTCATTTCTCAAACATGCCATGCTTTCATGTTCTGTAGTAGCTGAGAGTGGCCTTCTCTTACTTGTTCACCTGTAAAAGTCCTGGAATCTCCCTCAACTCTTTCTATGATATTTCGTTATATCTCCTTTTTCAGTTTGACTTTGATATTATTGGTTTTACTGGATTGTAACCTTGAAAGACAAGATTTAGATTTTATTCATTTTTGTTTGTCTAGCACTTAACACAGTGTACTCCATCCAATTTCAGGTGGAGTAAGAGTAGGGTTGTTATCATAGATAAAGTAGGATTGTTATGCTACGTTCAGTAGCACTAAAAGACTTCTTGAAGGACTCTCAGTAGAGATAGGAAGTAACTTTTGCTATGACTGCTTTGCCCATACAAAACACTTCACTTCCAAACTGACTTTTAGCTTTAATTCTTATTGAGAGCTATAATCTGTAATTTTTTGAGATTATTTTCTTGTTCAATTTTTGTAGGGTCATAACATAGAACTTTCATATTATCCTTTAGACATTAAAACTGTATGATTGTTTAAATTTCAGGAATATAATACATTTGTAGAAATTCTCTTAATGCTTTCCTTTCTCTCTTTATTAGGGAATTTCGAAATGACTTTCTAGAACTTCTCAGGAGACGCTTTGGTAAATACTTTAAATATTGGGCAAATAACGATTTTGTAACTTTACAATATTCTCAGTTTTAACAATGACATTTTTGTCTTTAGGCACTAAGAGAGTCCACAACAACATTGTATATAATGAATATATCAGCCATCGAGAGCACATCCATATGAATGCTACTCAGTGGGAAACTCTGACTGATTTTACTAAGTGGTTGGGCAGAGAAGGTAAGAAATAATACTTGTTATAATGCTCCATTGCAGAGAGAGAAAGACTTGTCCTAATTGCTATGTAAATGTATGGAAATTAGGATGTGTAGGGCAATTTAAAGCTGAGGGGGAGAGGATTTGTTTTGTTTATTCAGTTGAATATGAATGTCTGAATAGGTAGATCTGTTTTGATAATACCAGGATTTATCACTGAACCATCCTCTCATTCAGATTAAAGGTTATTAGCAATCCCTTCCATTTTTTCCCCTCATATTCATCTTATTTTAGGAGACTTTTCTTACTCCCTTTTAAGGTTGTTTTAAATTTGCTTTTTCTAATCTTCCTAGAGGAGCTCTGGTAGTGGAGCACCTGAGGCACTTGGCTGCTAACCAGAAGGCTGGTGGTTCAAACCCACCAGCCACTCCTTGGAAGGAAGGTTAGGCAATCTACTTCCATAGTGATAATGCCTGGGAAACCCAAGGAGGGGTTGCTATGGGTTGGGTCTGACTCCAAGGCACATAACAATGACGACAACAACAACAACATTCTTGCTAAAATGAAAAATTTGGGAAAAGAAAGGAGAAAAAAATTCTGTCACTATTACTTTATTTCATTTTAGGGAAATAATTTTAGTAGAGTATCATGAACTCACAGGATGTTAAATATTTAGACACAGTTGAGAAATGCATTTGTGTTGTTTAAATATCTTGCCTCAGCAATATAGAAATAATACATTTTTCTGTTTAAAGAGATCAATAATATATTTTATTTGAAGTATCTAGATTTCATCAAATTTAAATATGAAAAATTCACATGTGCATGAATTTGTGTATTAGAGTATGTTTGAGTACATTTGAATGAAAGCGAGTAAATCATGCAGAAATAGAACATTGTATTTATGCTTAGATTTAACTTTGATTGCCTAACAATTTATGATATCTGTTATTTTTTTTTTCAGGACTGTGTAAAGTGGATGAGACACCAAAAGGTTGGTATATTCAGTACATAGATAGAGACCCAGAAACTATCCGCCGGCAACTGGAATTAGAGAAAAAGAAGAAGCAGGACCTTGATGATGAAGAAAAAACTGCCAAATTCATTGAAGAACAAGTGAGAAGAGGTCTGGAAGGGAAGGAACAGGTGGGATATAATGTCATCTAGAAAGACAATATAAAAAGTCTTAAGAATTGTTTTACTAGATATTGTTTCTTAATTAAGAAAGGAGCTCTGGTGGTGTAGTGTCTGAGGTGTATGACTGCTAACCAGAAAGTTGGTGGTTCAAACCTACCAGCTGTTCCACAAAAGGAAGATGGGTTATTGCACTTCTATAAACATTTGCCGCCTCAGAAACCCAGTGGGGGCCGCTGTGAGTCAGATTAGCCTCGATGGCAGTAAGTTTGGTTTTCCTTAATTAAGAGGAGAAAGACCATGGCATAATATAAAAGTACATGTTTCAGAGTTCAGACAAATCTAGATTCAGTTCCTGACTTATTAACTTCATGATCTTGTATAAATTAATTATATGATCTTTTTAAGCTCGGTTTCCTTATCTCTAAAATAAAATAGAGGTAATATATAATGGGAGAAGACATATAAAATAGATAACGTTAGCTGAGTAATTAATGCTGGAGATAAAACACATTGTGTGGGAACATAGAGGGCCAGCACTTACCTCCACCCTGGTGGGGAGAAGGAATATGTTAAAGTGATACAACCTCTGAGCTGAAGAGTCCTGAGGAATTGTGAAACTCAGATAAATGGGAAAGGGAGGGTGTGGTAAAGGTGGTTCCAATTTTAGGATAACTAGACCAAGGCATTTATTATAAAAAATATTTGTTAGGTACCTCCTGTGTGCCAGGCACTTTCTAGGTCCTAAAGATGCAGCAGTGAATAAAAGATACAAAAACCCTGCCTTCATGGAGCTGTCATGCTAAAAGTTATATGCTAAAAGGGAAATACACAGCCTGGTGTGTACATGAGCCATTTAGTATTTTTAAAAACTTTTTATTAAGGTGATGTGTACTGTCGAGTAGATTCCGACTCATAGCAACAATGTATAACAGAGTAGGGGCTGCCTTATAGGGTTTCCTAGGCTGTAATCTTTATGGAAGGAGCCCTGGTGGCACAGTGGTTAAATGTCCAGCTGCTAACTGGTTAGGTACACCAGTTGCTCTGTGGGAGAAAGATAGGGCAATCTGTTCATATAAAAATTACAACTTTGGAAACCTTATAGGGCAGTTTTACTCTGTCCTAAGGGGTTGTTATGAATCAGAGTTTACTCAATAGCAGTGAGTTTGGTTTTGGTTAAGTTTTAAGAAAGTAGATTGCCAGGTCTTTTCTCCCAAAGAGTCACTAGCGAGTTTGAACTGGATACCTTTCTGTTAGCAGCCAGGTGCTTAATCATTTTACCACCAGAGGTCCTTTATTGAAGTAAGGAGCCCTGGTGACTCAGGTTAAGTACCTGGCTGTTAACCAAAAGGTCAGTAGTTTGAATCCACCAATCGCTTCGTGGGAGAAAGATGTGGCAGTCTGCTTCTGTAAAGACTTAAAGCCTTGGAAACCTTATGAAGCAGTCTACTCTTTCTTATAAGGTTACTGTGAGTTGGAATTGACTTGATGGCAGTGGGTTTGTTTTTTTCACATAATAAAGTGTATGATTTATATTAATGTTAAGAATACAGATTAATCAATTTTACACACATACCCACACCTGTGTAACCACCACCCAGATCAAGATATAAGCATTTCATTTTCCCAGAAGATTCTTTCATACCTGTTTCCAGTTAATCCCTCCTGTGTTGTATGTCTGGCTTCTTTAACTCTAATGTAATGTTTGTGCAGTCGTGTACTTTCCTGTTTCAGTTTTTGATTTTTTGGTTTTTTACTGTGTATGGCTATATTATAATTTATTTATCCATAGTTCTTCTGTTGAAAAACATTTGGCTTGTCTTCAGTTTTTAGCTATTATGCATGTTCCTCTTATCATCTTGTACATGTCTTATATAAGCCATTTATTATAAACAATGATGTAAGTTCAGGGACAGCTTACTCATTTGCATACCATAGTTCCCAAAGATAATATTCTACATCTGAGTTGAGTGAATAACATCTGGAATATTAAAAGACTGTGAACAGTCATTTGAAATATAACTATTTGTCTCATATGGAGAAAAAGAGACTGAAGGAGATCAAAGGCTCAAAGAAGAAACTAGCCCACAGGACTAATAGCCCACACAAACCACAACCTCTTAAAATCTGACACCAGAAGAACTATGTGGTACTAGGCTACCACTGCCTCCGTTCTGGCCAGGGACACAATAGAAGATCCTGGATAGAATGGGAGAAAAATGTAGAACAAACTCAAATTCTTATGAAAGGCCAGACCTAGTAGACTAATGGAGACTAGAGGAGCCCCTTAGACTATCACTTTAAAATAACCTTTGAACTTGGAATTAAAGCTATTTCTGCAGGTCATCTTTCAGCCAAATAATAGATTGCCTTATAAAATAATAATAATATCACCCATTAATGTGTTCTTTTTTTAAAAAAAAATTTTATTGTGATTTGGGTGAAAGTTTACGCAACAAATTCATTTTCCATTCAGCAGTTCACACACACTTTGTCTCATGATATTGACTGTGATTTCCCACAGTGCAACAGCTCTTTTCCCACTTCCTCCCAGTGGTTACCTCTTCCCTGTGTCCTTCCCTCCCATGGACTCCTGCTCCCTGAGTTATTCCCCTGTACATACACAGCCCTTCTATTCTCCCATGATTGATCTTTCAGAGGACTGTATTGCCTAATGTAAATGTTCAGCTCTATGCCTGTCTTTTGTTTGGCTGGAAGCCACAGGAGTGGGTTCAATTCCAGACCTAAAGGGCAGCTAGGGGCCATAGTTTCAGAGGTTCTGCCAGGCTCTATTGGACCAACAAATCTGGTTTCTTTTTTGTTACGATTTTGAGTTTTGTTTTACATTGTTCTCTAACTCTATCCAGGATCTCCTACATAGATCCTGCTCTGAGTGATTGATGGTGATACCTGGGTACCTTCTAGTTCTTCTGGTCTTATACTCATGTAGGCTGAGGATCGCATGGTGTACCAGTTCCTTGGACTAATTGTTTCCATGCATCTTTGGTTTTCTTTATTCTTCTTTGCTCTGGTCGAGGAGAGACCCATCGTTGCATCTAGATGGCTGCTTGCAAGCTTTTAAGATCCCAGTTGCTACTTGACAAAGTAGGATATGGAACAGTGTTTTTGTGTAGTATGTTATGCCAGTTGAGCTTGATGTCCTCTGTGTGAATGTGCTCTCTTACACAATTAACTGTATAAGACCAAACAATCAACAGTTATCCAAAAGCAAGGAGGGGAAGGGAAGCTAGATCAATGGAAACAGAACAAATAGAAAGGAAATAATAAGAATGCTGATACATTATAAAAATTGTAGCCAATGGTGTGGAATAATTTATATAAAAATTGTTAAAGGGGAGCTTGATTTGCTGTGTAAACTTTCACCTAAAACACAATAAAATATTTAAAAAAAAGACTGAGGAGAAAATTATAGATAAGACTTAAGAACGAATATATGAATCAGCTTTTATACCATGTTAATTGAACTTCTCTATGACTGAGTGAGGTTCTTTGTTAATGTATTATGGTATCACTTACATTAATACACATTTGGTACAGAATCTTTCAGGAATTTTGTGTATTAAGAACAGTGATTAAAGTACTATAATTATAGAATTATTTAAATTCTTGCTTAAGATGGAATGCTTTTTATTCTTGAAATTCTCTTACCTTTGTAAAATGTAAACTTCCACTTTCAATGGAGGAAACATTTTAATTTCCTATTGTGGAAATTAAGAATCACATCTTATTTATAGTAAAGTAGCTTACCCTTTGAGATAACATTGTTTTTAATGTTTTAGCTTAATACTGCTAAAACCTTCAAGTTATTTTGTACTTTTCAGGTAGAAATCATTTTGGATTTATCTCTTAGAGCTGTCTAGCAACACGGGTAGCAAGTCGTAATTTAGTGCTATTAAACGTCTAGTAAATACACTGTGAACTAAAACCTTCAAACATGTACTTATTTATTTATTTAGGAGGCCCCTGTTTTTACGGAATTAAGCAGAGAAAATGATGAAGAGAAAGGTAGTATTACTTTTTATTTCCTTCCTTTTTTAAAAAAAAAATCACGGACGCTTTGTGTTGATTCTGCCAAAGACTAGCAGCGTGTATGAGAGAAGACATTTAATCTGTTTGGGTCTTATTTTTCTCATCTATAAAATGAAAAGATAATGAATTGAATGGGCTGCTTTCAGTTACAAGTAACAAAACTGACTAGAGTAGCTTAAACAATAAGGAAATGTATTTTCCTGCCATAATGAGAATCCAAGAGGTTTCGGATGCCATAGGTGGCTGCCAGCTTGTCCAGCCATCAGTATTCAGGTACAGCCTTATCTAGAGATTGAAAGAGCATCTCTTCTGGAGTCCTCCAGTGACCAAGGAAACTTTTCATAGAAGGTACTCCCCTTCCCCTCACCAACAGACTTTGTTTGGAATGACAGTGGTCCAAGTATGCTACATGTCTGCCTAAAACAGTCATTGAAGTGGGGGAGTGGAATCATTTTGCTTGATTTACACAGTCAGAATTTATCACAAAACTGAAGGTGGTGTGTGATCTCCCCTGAGCCATGTGTGAGAGGTATGGACACCTTAAAATTTAAAACAAAAAAAAAGGAGTACTGTTAACAAGGGAGAAGACAGAACAGGGAGGGAAGCAACCAGCGTGCTCTGCTGTAGCATCAGTCTTGGGTGTGTTAACAGCAATTTGTAATCTTTGAATGGGAGCATTTTAACTCATTAAAATGTCTAAATTTCTATGTGAATATGTTGTGGTAACCTGTCTGATAAATTTTGTTACAATTTTCCTGAAATACCTATGGGATAACAGTTTTTTTTTTTTTTTTTTTTTTTCAGTTACGTTTAATTTGAGTAAAGGAGCATGTAGTTCAGGAGTAGCAACATCTTCCCAGTCAAGGTGAGCTGCATTAACAGTTATCTTAAAACTTCAGAATTTTTGTGAAATGTTGGTTGCTACATTTTAAAAACAGCAATATTGTGAATCATATTTTTCTGGTTCCAGTTTTCTTCTTTATTTATGGTCTTTTGTTTGTTGCAGTAGTTTTTGTTACTAGCTGTTCTTTTCAGAATTAGAGGAAAGGCTCATTTTTTTTTTTTTTTAATTATGATTTGGGTGAAAGTTTACAGAGGAAACTCACTTTCCATACAGCAGTTCACATACACTTTGTCTCATGACATTGATGACAATTTACCACAATGCAACAGCTCCCTTCCCACTTCCTCCTGACAGTTACCTCTTCCCTGTATCCATCCCTCCATGCACTCTTGCCCCCTGACCTGTCTTCCTGTGTATAAACAGCCCTTCTTTCTCCCATGATTGTTTTCTCCAAGGAGTATATCTACCTCAGGTAAATGTTCAACTCATATGCCTGTCTTTTGTTTGGCTGGCAGCCACAGGTATGGGTTCAATTCCAGACCTGAAGGGCAGCTAAGGGCCATAGTCTCAGTGATTCCATCAGGCTCTATCAGACCAGCAAACCTGGTCCCCCCCTTTTTTTTCCCCCAAATGATTTTGAGTTTTGTTCCACATTGTTCTCCCTCTCTATCCAGGATCTCCTGCATAGATCCCCCTCCGAGTTGTTGACAGTGGTAGGAAAGGCTCATTTTGATTAAATGCTTCACATGGATAAAATACTGGTTCTGCATGAGTCTTTCATTTAATGGTTCCTTTTGTGTCACTATAATATTGCTTGTTTTTCTGTCGTAGTCCATTATCACAGTCAAAATGTTAGCTGAGATGTCCATTTTTTGTTTTATTCTCTATATTGTGATTTTCTAAGACACTCAGTAAAAATTGTCTTCTCTTCTAGGTGGTATATAGTACACAACAGGAGTTGGCAAACTTTTTCTATAAAGGGCCAGATGGTAAATATTTTAAGCTTGGTTGGCCATATGTCTTTAACTCTTCTGCTACAGTGAGAAAGCAGCTGTAGGCATTATGTAAAAGAATGAGTGTGGCTAGGTTCCAGTGAAATCTTATTTTGTAAAAGCAGGCAGCAGGCTCAATTTAGTCCACAAACTATAGTTTGCCAAACCCTGGTATAGTATGTAGTCATAATAGTTCAATCTACTTTTCATGTTCTTTTTTCTTGGGTTTTCTTTTTTTCTTTCTTCTTTTAAGATAATATTTTATTGTGTTTAAGGTGAAATTTACATTTATGCATCTGTCGGGGTTTATGTCAATGGTATATGCTGAGGAATGTGTCCTATAGTGTTTTCTTTATTCTTACATATTCTTTTACCACATATTTATTGACCATTTGTGATGGGTAATGCAGTCAGTTAGTTATGGAGGTTAAACAATGAATAAAACAAGATACTAGTATCTCAAGAAAGCACCATTATCTACTGGAATTTAGTTTTAGACTGAGTAATCTTTTCTATTTTACTTAATATTTTACTTGTTTATGACCTAACCCAGCTTTTTTGCTTAGGGTATAGGTTAGTGCTTATTTGCATGGCTAAATAAATGGCTAGGAGAATTGAAGGGAATAGACAGGCTGACTCAACAATCAACTGCTTCAGAATGACTTGACATATATCATAATGCTGATCAAAAGAATATTTCAAAATTAGCCCCTACATTAGATATTATTAAGAAACTGGTTAGTTGAGTTCTACATACGGTACATTTGAAAAGAAGAATTTTCTACTATTGATATGTTATAACCTGGAAGACAGGCTTGAATATATTATAAAACATACACACATACATATATTATAGTTTTAGACCCTTATGTATTTCTTTCTGTTTTCCTTTATTCATTTGACTGCTAACCAGAAGGCTGGCGGTTCAAATCCACCAGCCACTCCGTGGAAGGAGATGGGGCAATCTACTTCTGTAAAGATTTACTGCCTCGGAAACCAAAAGGGGTTCGCTATGAGTTGGAATTGACTCGATGGCAATGAGTTTGGTTTTTTTGGGAGGTATACCCCCCAAAAAACCCATAGCTGTTGAGTTGATTCTGACTTGCGACCCTGTAGGACAGAGTTTCCAAGAGTGTAAATCTTTATGGAAGCAGACTGTCAGATTTTTCTTGTGTGGAGGGGTGGTGGGTTAGCAGTTGAGCACTGAATGGTTGGGCCACCAGGACCCCCTACTGATAGGTATAGATGAATGTTAGTATTAGGTCCAGTGGCCCTTACAGTTCTCTCACAGTTCTCTTTTTTTTTTTTTTT